ACACTCGTAAGCTACTAGTAGTTGACCACAGATGCCTTAGAAATATTGCTGGAGTCTGCTGGGATCACCGGGTAAGGAATAGTGAGGTTAGACGCAGGGTATTAGGGAATGATGGTAAATCAGTTGATGAGGTTGTGGATCGTCATCGACTGAAATGGTTGAGCCACGTGTTGCGTATGCCCGAACACCGATTACCACGACGCGCAATGCTGACTAGTGTTGGGGATGGTTGGAGGAAAGTTAGGGGTGGCCAAACCAAAACATGTCATCAGTGCTTGAAGTCACTAACTTCTAGTCTGAGTCATGTTGGTAAATGCAGACTACGTGGTTGGAGTCCGCGTGACTATCGTAACCAACAGTTGGAGACTCTTGGTGACATGACTCAGAATCGATCACAATGGCGTAGGTGTATAGACTCTCTGTCTTCCTTTAAACTATGAGATTAATATCGCTTCATATCTTTTTTTCTACAAACTAATTCTTTTTTCTTGTACTGTGTCATCATATGCAATCTTTCTTTTACATAATACCACCACTGAATTAACTACTATGAATTCTGTGTTCATCTTGCCGTGCTAATGCGGTATGGCAACTTGGACCGATACGTATATTTGCCTGGTCCGACGTTGTAGCTAACTGACTGACTGACATTTACTACTGTGAGTAGGTTATATTGTTTTTAAAAAATGAACATAGAGCAATAGATTGTATTCATATTTTAATAATAGATACATAGAATTTCAAGCCGATAGTTTTTTTCAGAACTAACTGACCTAATAAAAATGAATTTTGTAGAAGTACACGAAAGAAGGAAGATCTGACTCAGATGTACAGGCAAGGATTGACAAAGTAAGGGCAGCATTTCTACAACTGAAAAATACATAAAACTCAAAACAACTGTCAACTAACATCAATGTCATAATCTTCAATGCGAACTTCAAGACAATTCTCCTGTATGGAGCTGAAACGTGGAGAACTACCACAACCATCATCTAAACAGTACAAGTATTTATAAACAATTATCAACGTAAGATACTCATTTTCCGTTGGCCGGATACTATCAGCAACAGCCTACTGTGGTTGAGGGCAAACCAGCTTCCAGCTAAGAAAATTAGGAAAAGACGTTGAAAATCGATAAGACACACATTGAGGAAATTATCAAACTGTATCACGAGGCAAGCCCTAACTGGAAATCTTGAAGGAAAATTAAAAAAATAGGAAGCCCAAAGAACACACTGAGTCGAGAATCGGAAGTAGACAACAAAATAATGAATAACAATTCCTAACAAATGGGAAGGATTGCCCATGACAGAGTTAAATAGAGAATACTGGTGGGTGGTCCATTCTCCTCCACGGGGGATAACAGGCGTAAGTAAATAAGTAAAATGAAGCAAACAAATTATCTGGTTTTATTTGACTACTTGATTAGGAAGGATTTTTCAACTAATAAAAATTTCGATTTAGTTTTCATGATGTAACGACATTATTATTTCGTAGATTTATTGAAAATGAAGAACAGTCAAAAAGCTAACACGTTCTAGTATGAAATAACTCAAAAGTGTTGAACCATATGTCCATGACATACATATACACATTCTATATCAGATAACAGTTAACAATCGGAGAACACAACCAAATCATTATTACATGTTCCGGTGGTGGAGAAGATTTGTAACTCAGGTGGATGATTTCGATGGAGTTTTGTTCTCTGACCTGGATGGTTTGTTCACAGAACAAAACACCATCAAAAACATGTTTCAGTGTTAACTAAATAGATTTATTCACTTTAGATTTGTTGATTGCAAATATTTATATAGGATAAAATGTCGATACTATTGTTTATGGACCATTAAGTGTCCACCTAATAACCAGGACTAAATAAGGGGTTATAAACCAGCGTGAGCAAATAGTATAGTGAAAAGAACACGAGTGGAGACAATCGAATGTATCTAACACAAAATTACAGGACTTGTTAATGAAATCTAACAATCATAAAGTAAATGCTTAATTTGCAAAATATCCACCAATTGTCTCAAAATAACTCAGACTTCATTGTTCTTGCATTTTCATACAAATTACATCCTGTTTCCATTCTTTACTGTTTGATCCTCTTGTCTCTCAACTGCCAGACCTTCAGTTCATGACTAATTTCATATACTACTTATGTCAATATAAGTAGCACACACCACAATAGAATTATGATTTACAGTTGATGATTAGGGTTAGAAATTAGATTTAGGGTTTTCATCATGAACTAACATCAGCTATAATGCCAAAACTCTATTCATCCGAGACCTGTTATCTTATTTTGGTGGAGTTTTGTTCTCTGAGCTGGATGGTTTGGTCGTGGAGCTTTCATCGTTCTTCTGAACGACATCATCAGCACAAACTTCAGATAGAAGTGAAGTGTTTGAGCTCACAAAATCAACTGCGTACACAATTTGTTCAAGAGGGCGAGGACACACTGCAGCACACTGGCAGCACGAAGAAATGAAGAGAAATACCTAAAGGATGTATTTCAGAAGAACGGCTACCCAACCAACTTCATCAAAAAATACCAACCGCACGCAGCATTAGAACTCAAGTCAAGCACAAAAATCAACAAAAGGATCACCCTACCATATATACAAGGAATATCAGAAACCGCGACGAGACTGCTGAAAACCTTCGGAATAGATGTGGCACACAAACCGACAAAATCACTACAATCAGTCTTATGCAAACCAAAAGATGAAATAACAAAGGAAAACAAATCAAACATCATCTACAAAATAAATTGTGCCAACTGCGAAAAACACTACATCGGACAAAGCAGTCACCCCCTTCACCTTCGCCTACATGAACAGCAATTAGCAGTCAAACGGCATGATATCTCTTCACTTATATCAATACACGTGGACAACTGCGGACACTCATTCGATTGGAAAAATGTGGAAATCTTAGACAGAGGAAACTCCAAAAACACCAGAGAATTTTTAGAAGCCTGGCACTCAGGTCAATCAGCAATCAACTAGCATATTGAAATCAATCCAATTTATCAACCAATCAGAAAAATCATGCACAAACATAAGAACAAAAATCAAAACAATGGGAGACACAACCAAAACAAAGAAGTAAACAACGACAAATTTAAGGTCAATAAGAACCAATCAACGTCGAGGTGCACAGAACAAGCTTTGAGAGACATATGGATGATGTCGTTCAGAAGAACGATGAAAGCTCCACGACCAAACCATCCAGCTCAGAGAACAAAACTCCACCCAAATCATCCACCTGAGCTACAAATCTTCTCCACCACCTGTTATCTTATACGTGATTGGTTCGTCCATAAATTATAGTGTCGCCGATAAAATAATGTTTCCAATAAAGTGAATTGTAAATATGATGGTATACTTGTTGTTTCAAGTTTTATATCAACAAATGAGATTTCCTAGTATGAATTCTTTAATTTCTGAGTAATTGTTATTATAAGTTATAAAATATAGTCTTGTTCTTTTAAAAAAAAACTGAGTTCTGTTAAACTTCTGCTGTTGTGCAACTCTTGGGAAAACACTCAAAATTTAATTAGTAAATACGTTGTAGTGTCGGTGACTATGTTAAACCCTCATAGCTTATTCTAACATCTGGACAGGCCAATTTTTCCATTCTTCTTGAGTCATGTTTTGACCTTGCTGAATATTCAATTATCAGCCTTGACTGTATTCATATGAGAGCATGTGTGTGTACATCTTATCCTACTCATCACGTATCTGTAACTTATTTCTGAGTGACCATGAATATTGAATAATGCTTGAGTTGGCTCACATGCCTTCTCCAATGTGCATCATTTCGCTTCTTTCTCTTCTATTCGTTTCACCCCTCTTATTTCCTGTTCAGATCAGTGAGTGTACAAAATATATGTACTCATAAATCCATTCTCATATTTGACTTATTCAATTCCGTTATTTACTAACGCGAATTAAGTAGATGATTATATACGAGGACTGACGATATGTGTACTTCGACAACATTCATACGATCTAATTAGAGTTAGATATCGGGCCACTAAAACGTTATACGGATTAGTGGATTTTTCGCTTTTATTAACTAAACTTTGTGATATGAAATTTACATTTTCAATTTAGATTAATGAAATATCAATTGTTGTATCTTGAATATAAATAATTTTCAAGTAATTAAACATAAAGTGTAAATTATTTCTAACACGATGGTTTGGTCGTGGAGGTTTCATTGTCCTTTAAAAATAACATCATCAGCAAAAAACTCGGACAGGAGTGAAGTATTCAAATTGTTCCACATATGACTGATAGCTTGCCCTATCGAAATCGATCTACCTCTTCAAATATATATATCCGACTAAACAAATGTACATCAGACGTTCATTAGTGACTAATGTTGAGATGAACTCCTAGCGTCTAAGTGAAAAGTCTTGATGAATGAATCGAAATAAACCCAACTTACAAAACTAGTTTATGAACAGAAATAATGATATTAATGGGTTTATGTGTGACCGTACTACTTAGAAAACAAACTCAAATTAGTAGAAAAATTGCTAGTTAACCTATCAGGAAATGACGAATAATCTATCTCTTTTATAGAACCCTGTTGTATCGCTTTACTGAGCGCTGAATGGAAAAAGTATCTTCAGACTTCTCTCATCTTTTTAAGACATTTCAGAGAAGCTCTCGATAACTGTTAGGAATAATGAACACACACATGGTACACTATAAGGAAAAGAATATTCTACATAGATTCCATATTTACTAAAAGGGAAACCACCGTGCTCAGTGAAAACACACAAGTCAAATAATTATTTTACCAAAGATTTTTTATTCTTTATCAACAACTCTTAATCATGTATGCACACTATAATTATTCCTTTTTAACATGAAAGTAGTTTATGTTACTGAACGCTCATGTAATCAAAAAACAACATTCTTCGAAAGAAGATTGAAATATTCCATTTTCCGATTGATTATATTTATCATAATTAAAATTTATTAAGATTCCATATATCTCATATCTCGCCTCAACTGGCATAAAACAAGTTGAGGACAACAACATGTAATAAAATGATCATCAAGTAATGAGCCCTAATAAAATAGAAATTATTAAAATGAATAATTATAAATAATAATATTGGTAAATTTAAACAACTGAATAATCAAATATACCCACTGAGAGTCTAGAAGCACCGGAATGACGAATCTCTCAAGTACAAGACCCCTAAACAACACACATTCATGGACATCATCGGGAACTAGACTGAGGGTCTCAGGCTCATAGAAACCTCTAGACATGGTGAGTCATTCATATGTACAACTGAGAAGTTTCATGCTAAGACAAAATGGTTATCTAGTCCTTCCTACTTTGCAGTGCTTGTCAAAATAAAAACCAACCGGTAATGTAAACTATGGAAACGTCACATTCTTCACAAACCCTTTGTAATTATTAAACATAAATTAAAACAGTTTCGGAATTGAATGTGCTATATAATAGCTAAGAAATTCATCGATATTATTCGAAACACAGTAGTTGATATTGTTTATAAGCTAACATAACGAACATCAATATTGTAGAAATACATTTAACGGATCATATTACATTATCCAATGCGTTAGCACAAAGTTAATGTAAATAAACAAATATACTTAATATCTATTTACGAACTTTGAACAATGTAAAATTTAGTATTGTGATATAAAAAGTGAAACGGATCTAGAATTGTCACATGAAGTCTGATCGGATTTTTCATATTTAACTGATTATTATATTATTTCGATTTTAATAATACAGTTGTATATACTGATTAGCATTATTACATGGTAATAGATAAGTCTTTGTTAATACATTTTATTGTGTTTTGAATCTATTTACCCTGGTGATTTTTAGTGTAATTAGTACATAGTTAAAGGTACAGTTATTAAACATAAAAATAACAGCCCACAGTACATTGTAAGACTGCCATAAAAATCTCATCTAGTTTCTGTTCAAGTTTCATTAAAATGATGTTTTAATGAACTCCAAATATTCATTTGTGAATGTACATAAAACATTCATAAGAATAATTCAGAAGTATTTCCGTTAAATTACTAAACTCAGATAATATAAAGTGAACAAGTATAAATCAAGCATTATTTCTCAATAATAGTCGGGTAAGACACATGAAGATTCTATGTCTATCATGTGTGCTTTACGCTAAAGTAATAGTACTGTATTATTTTACGTATAAATTAGATTACAAACGTGGAACAGGTACTGTCTTTCAGTTTGATATTTGGATTACAAAAGGTTCTTGAGTATGTTTGATTTGCGTTTCATCCCTACGCATTTGGTTTAGATTCAGTTTCAATATCTCTTTCACTAAACATGTCTACTATCGTAAAACACCAAATACAAAGTAACTACAATATTATTTTACTGGAATGGAACTGTTTATTTTATATAAATGAAAGTGTTCTTCTTCTTTACTATTGAAAACGGTGTGCCCCAAGGAGTTTTCTCTATCTCCCCCTATTGGTGCCCTTTTAATTGAATGCCCCAATCTCTTCTACTAAAGTATTCTCGATAAATATCTTGGTGATATGACTGTAGTTATATCACTTTTCTTCTTGAGGTAAAAATGGCGGTCTCTTCTAAATGTTTTTACACTCAATTTCTTAACTTAAAACTTAAACCTGAAAGAAACTGACCATTCGTGATTATTGATGATTCTGCAACAAATAAATATCCCAAATGTCATTATGTAGGCTGTTCTACTGATCTAAGCCTATCTCCACATTATTTGTTAATATCGAAGGAAGTTTTCTGTCCAAATTTTACTCATAAATAGGTTATGTGTCTTCAGATTTGCCGAATACTAAATTGTCGTGTTCCTTTATATTATTTGTGACTATCATTCATGAATAGTCACTGAACTTACATGAAACGTTTTCTTTGGGTTGTGTAGGATATTGAACTTTATTTGTGCAACCAGCGGTAAATCTTCTGATTTCATCATGAGTACGGTTGAGCAAAACTACTAATCATTATTTTACCAAAATAAACTATTAACTTCATGAATTTCTCCTCGTGTATTCTATCCCAAAACGAGATACAATTTTATAAAAATACATTTATATAAACAATAAATCTAAAACTCGTATGATATAAATATATATAGGTAGTCCTGTTGACAACCTCCAACCATCTTAATAGTGAACTGTTTTGTACTTTGGTGAGCAGATTAAGAGGAGTTTGACTTGAGGAATATACCTTTTAACATGTTTAACGAAAATAACGGCTACCCTAGAAGATAGATTGTTTAGACTGATCTATTAGGCTTTACTATTTATAACAGCATTCCTTGTGCGGATGTAACTTTCAAGATTCAGTTTTTCAGACAGTACTTTCTTTTCCTTAATGAAAGCTATTTGAGCTAAGTATGGAGCCGAATACTTCCTGATTAAGATAATAAACGCATCTGGATATTCATTCTAACCTACTGTAATCTCATTACAAGTACTAAATCTTCCATACTCCCCCGTTATATATAATACTGTTAACATTCAAACAAACTTATTTGAACGAATTCCTTACACTTATGCACTAGAGCATTTATTCATACAGCCACATGGTGACTTATTACTCACCTTGACAGGATATGTCATATTTCTTCGTCCAAAATACATCTTAAAAAACATATATACGTCTGAAAAACTAAGTCCACGACACCACAATGACAAAAACCAGAATTACTAATAGATCAGTAAAACGTACATCTATGTTGTGTTTGATTCGATGTTTAATACGTAGAGGAAGAACACCAACTCCAAATAAAGGAAGCCAACAGGCCTCATTTGAAATGCTATACATATGACAAAGATAACATGGATAACAAAATCCTGCACAAAGACCTGTAAACACAAAGCACCATTTAAACAACAAATTTGATATATTTTCTAAAAAATTATTGAAAGTGTTTAATTTATGACTGAGTATTAGTAGTTTTATTTCCAAATCGAGAAAATATGGCACTGATTACCATCCACTAATCAATCAATGTAAAGCTCTCAGTTATACAGAAGGTTGATCAAGGGACAACTAACTCATTCGTAAACCTTTTCATTATGACAATAAGTTACATGGGTTCGAAGTCACAGTGAACATTAGCACCCTCAGGATTGAAAGCATACCCAACTGAAAAACGATAACTAGGTCGATACCTAGGTACACAACTCATTGTCACTTGTATGTAAACATTTATTGTATTCTTTGGATAGTGGGCCACTGAATGTTGACTGAGTGGTCTAAAACTAATGCATCAGTACTACCGTCTATAAGTTCTGGGCCTGTGACGAATGCGAACAAGATATTGAATAGTCTCTCACTATTGCAATAAACTTAGCTGCGTTACTTTACTAGCGGTGGAAAAACAAACTGAAAATCTTCTTTTCTTATACTATTGCCTAATAAGAGAAACATAATGCAACAATCAGCAATAATACGTCCGATTACATTTTAAATTATTGGATTCTTAGTTAGTACCATTGTGTCTATTTTGAAAAAAGGATAGATTTTCAATCTTCCATCGACAAGCAAAATCATCTCAGTAAATTATTATTGCTTACATGATTCACAATCATCGAAACAGCTACAAATTCCAGAACTCCATCCTCTCGTTAAAAAATATCCTTGTTGAGGTTGCTAAAAAATGAAATTGATCGTGATAAATCAAAATCGCGAAAACGGCTAAGGCATATAAATACACAACTGATTTACTTAATAAATCTAGTTTTGTTAACATACCTTTCAAATATCAAGATGCTAAGATACTCAAACTTTGATTACTTCCTCAATGTTGTTGCATTTATTGCAATGGTAAGTAGTGGAAATCCTCTAAGCAAAATCTAAATCCACTCATTTCTTTCGAAATATATGATATAGCCTATGAACCTGATTGAAAATAAAGTAGTTGGTGCGCTGTGATGTTCATTTTATATTATATGAGTATATGATATGTTTGTCTGCTCACTGAGCATAATATCTTAAGTCGCTTAAGCACTGGTCGCACGAAGTAAGGCAACTGATTAGATGAGTTGAGTCTATGTGCATTCCATAGTGTACGATGGTTTTGTTTTTCACTCTAGTACATATAACGCAATTAGTTCACAAATGAACATTCGTGACTCAGAAAATTCGACCCTATAGAGTTATCTAAAAGTATATGATAAAAGTATTATGGCTGAATTTCCAAGATATATAGCTTCTCACTAAACTATTTCGAACTACAAATTAATAAACACACGATAGATCCGTATGTTTGTTTTCACCAGTTACACCTTTATATTACACGATAGTACAGAATCTTCTATAAATTAAACGTAATGAATGACAATGGTAACTAGGAATTATAATATTAAGTGACTGGTAGATGAAACCAGTAGTCAGTTAGAGAAGTATTAGTGATGAATCAGAACTTATCACAAAATGAAGAATTGTCCTCGCAAATACCACTTCGAATACCTGAAATAGGTTCAAATTGTGTATTCTATTGGTAATTTTTGATAATTTCATTTGTGCGTAGTTAAGAATTAACTACCACTAGATCAATGTATGAATCTCCCTTCGCCACTTATGAACATATTTTGAACTACCAGATCACAGGGGTAATCGACCGTTATTCCTTCTCAGTTTGCAGTTCCTCAGTAGTGTTAACCCGTAACTCCTAGATTTCAAGTCATGTAAATTTTTGTTGCATCACTGGGTTAAAATACAATGATCTCTACTTCCGATATTCATTAATTCCAACTATTAACATAACAGGTTTACAAAACCCCTTCAATTCGCAGTTTATACTACAAAATGACCTTAGCTACTCCAATCATATCGAGCATAAGACAGGACAAATGTTCATCAATGTAAATAATTCGATGCCTAATCAATGTTTGGAAAGTTGAGGAATTACCTGAGCTCAATCCCTAAGAAGCTCCATATCACGACGTAACAACTCTCTAAATTCTTACACATAGTTCCCCTTAATCATTCTGAAAAAAGCAAGATCAAAGATTCTAGCAGAATAGTATGAATTCACTTTATCTCGTTTGATTCTTGTAAGCTGTTTACAACCTGTGATATTAAAAATCATAATTACAAAATGGGCATAAATTACTTACATGAAAGAGTTCAGTCGGAAGTTGTGTTGAAAACGTATTAATATAGCAAACGTGTAAATAAATTTAACAGACTGAATACTGTAAATATATACCTTATGTAAAAGAACATTCGATTGTGACAAGAGTTCAAATGGCCAGAAACAGGTGATAACATATGAGTAGACACTGGTAAGAATAAAATGATTAAAGCTCAGTTGATAAAATAGGATGGTGAGAGTAATTTATAGACGACCTTTGAGCGACGCTAAATTGACCTTGAGAGTATTCATCTAATAACAAGGACCAAACGAGGGTTATAAACCAGAGTGAGGAATTAGAATTATGATTTACAGTTGATGATTAGGGTCAGAAATTAGATTTAGGGTTGTCATCACAAACTGACATCAGCTGTAATGCCAAAACTCTATTTATCCGAGACCTGTTATCTTATACGTGATTGGTTCGTTCATAAATTATAGTCTCTCCAAAAGTTTAAGATGCCATGAGGGAATATTTGTCATCAACCTATTTTGTAATTATGATTTTTAAATATCACAGGTCGTAAGCAGATGACGAAAACCAAGCGAAATCAAATGAATTCATGCTATTGTGTTAGAATCTCTATTTTTTATTGGTTTACAATGATTGTTTAGTGAAATTTAGTCCTTCATGTAAACGACCATCTTGTGAAACTGAAGAAGACTTACACTCGACAAAGCTAAACTTCAAAATCTCATCTCGGTATCTTTCAATGGTGTGCACTAGTTTTAAACTGATTGACGAAAAGTTTGGAGACTAGTTTAATGTCAGTTTAATAGCATCAACCTTATTCCAATCTGAAGCTTTTATAAATCACAAAATCCACATACATATGGCTGTGTCAACTTCACATAACTAATAAAATAATATTTAAGGCATTTTATGCACAGGGAGAACTTCAGTATTTGAATCATGGAAACAGAAACTGACAAATGTCACACATATACAAACATTTCTTATCGCTTACCAATACTGACAGAGGCTGCTGTAAAACAACAGTGGTAGATTGTCCGTTTGACCGTACTTCAACCATCGTTAGTTGATTTATGTTAAGAGCATTGTCCGAGTTTATATATATATATATATATATATATATATATGCTCGTGTTTGTCTGCACACTTATCATTTCATTAAATGTCTGTCCCATTCACCAAACACCGTTTCGGTTATATTAAAGCTTGTATTGATTTCTTTTAATTATTTGTCAAACTAACTTCAAGGTGTATCTGTTTGCTCTTCGATAACGTGAATGTCTGCTTATAACTGAATCCATGCTTGAAATAAATGTATCACTGTAGTGTTAGGCATTAGTTTTAGCCCATAATATATCTTATTCTAGTTTCCGGACATTCCATTCTATTCGTTCTACTTGAGTCATGTTTTAACCTTGTTAATTATTCGCTTATTAGCCTTGACTGTTTTCACATGAGCGTATATGTGTGTACACTTCATGTCCCATGACTCATCACATGTCTGTAGTTTATTTTGTCTGCCTATAAATATTGAGTAATGCCCGGCTTGAAATGGAGTTGGCTTTCCAGCTATCTTCCATACGCTCTAAATGGAGTCAGATTCACGGGCACAAAATCACCACAAAACTTCTCATTTCCTGCTGTGATCCAGACCAATTATGTAGTCACTATTTCACTAATACCGACTCTTTTTACTGCAGTTTGATTGGTTCAGTCTCATGAACAGTGTCTTTTTTTATTGGATGGTCCTAGTCAATTCTGGAAGTGGTCTCTCGGGAGCGGGATCGTTGATGCGCATTGCTAAGGAGTCCCACATTAGGACAAAATAGCCGCCCAGTGCTTGCAGGTTTTCCATGATAATCTAGCATTATTTGACTCATGAACTCAACTATTGAATCTCTATACTCTCCATAAAACCCCCCTTTCTAATAATTTTGGAATATATCAAAAATTATACTTTGGATAGTAGTATAGTTAAAGTTTGATTAATTTATCGTTAAATTGAATGTATAACAGTTAATCACTTGTAACATTATGCCAGAATAATGTTACTATTAAAAATTAATTATAATACAAGCTATATATCAATGAAAACTAACTGAATATCTTAAATCAATTACATTCACAAAGATCTCATTCAATATGTCTTATTGTGTTTTCGCTTTGTTTTTATGGATATGATTATGAATACAGTGGTCTTGAGTGGTGTTAGAGGTATGAGGGCGGTTTTCACCTTACGGTTGCGCACACCGTGGAAGGGTTCTTCTGGAAGTACCTGAAAAGGAAATTGGATTACAGGTGGTCTTAGTGACCTGAGAGCGTGACCGCAGCGCCCAACGGACAACTGCTTGAGGTCGGTCACACACGACATTTTTATGGGCAATTTTTGTGTTAGCTCCGTACTTGTTGAGACCTTACCGCCGGAGACGGATATCCGTGGGATAAGGTGAGGTGTGTATTTGTAGGGCCGACCTTTTCTAACCCCACCCCTTCTTATGGGAAGGCAGCATCGCTGTCATACTGGTTGTCTGAAGGAAACACCTTACTACTGTCACACATCTGTTCAGTCAGCAGTACGACTTCACCTTCGAACCTTGGGTTTGTTGGTTGTAGTCTTACCGCTCTTCAACTGACCTGTCTGATATGGTAGGACCTTGAGGAATGGTTATTCTAGCCAGTATAGCTAAGTTGCTTAATCACGACGGGGAAGCCCGACCACCACGTCAAGGTACCAACAACAGTCAGGTGTTTATATGGATACGAAATTCACTATAAAAAAATTACAATCCAGTAACAAAGTCTTAACACCAGTTTTTTTCTTGACATTGATTTATGTACATTATATCTGAAATACTTTTTATTCATTAACATTTATACAAAGAATAATATTTCATATTTATGTTTACAAGTTTAAAAGTATAAAGCACTTTGTAAAGGAACAGGGAATAATCTAAGATTATGAAAGATCATTTTAAAATTCATCGAATGAAATGTAGTTTTATCACATTACAATAGATTATTACTCTTATAGGTATACTAAATAATCATTTTCAATGAAATACAGTATGTTCAATTGCTAAGTAACCTTTAACATATCAACAATCACAACGACAATAACAACAAACAAGGGAACAATATAAATTAATATGAGACTATTTTTCCCAATATATAATCTTTATGTTTCATAATTATCAAATACTGATCTAGTTATAAATTAGTTCTGAAATGAAAATATGTTTAGAATGTTACTAATTAGCTTTTATGTACCTTAAATGTTTACGAAAAAAAACAAAAAATTAATTTAACATCATTTTGGTGGTGGTGGTGGTGGTGATGGGATAAACTTTAAGCTACTGTTTCTCCCAGAACTGTATTTTTTGTTTGTTTCTGATTCATTATTACTTATAAGTAGATATTATCTACACTTCTAAAGTTTTATGTTATAAGATAAATTTCTTTATTTTATAACCCAAAATAATAATGATAAGAATATAATTATTTACATAATGGAATAACTCTAGTTATTTGACAAAGTTATTCAAATAGTTTTCGATCGAATATTTTCTTTATAGTAAGAATGAAACATTAGATCTATGAAGAATTAAAGTAGAATGTGAAGTGTTAGTCGATATCCATCTAGTAACAAATTCAATGAAATATCTATAACTAAAGAAAGAAAAAAGAAAAGAAAATGTTAACCGAAAGTATGAAATGAAATAAATCATTGTATTAAGCTTCTCATGAATACATGTTCTTGATTGTTTCTTAATAGGTTCATATATGCAGAAGATTATGTAAAGTAAATATAATTACAATATCAAGGCATGTGATTAATCTAATGTACTGTAAAGCATTTGTAGTATATAATTGTAATAAGGTAAACACGTAAAACTTCAATATGAAGAGAAGTTTTATTAGTAGGCGTAATGATAAATGTTTGTATAGCTTTCCAAGCAACATCTAAGTCAACCTCGTTTTCAGAACTACCTAATTGTGACCTCAGTTGTTCCTGGAACCTACTTTTGGTTTTCTCGCTACTCAATTCAGTTCTAATGGGTCCTTTTACTGTGGCTGACTGATTGATGGTAATTGTTTAATTGTATGGGGGATTTGTGGAGATTGTAGTGTTTTAAGAGTTGAATTCACGAGTCAATCTAAACTGGACTACCATTAAAAACCTGAAAGCAATGGATGGCTGTTTTGTTCTAGTGTGGGACTACTGAGTAGTGAGTATACATGGTCCCTCCTTGACCAATTCAGTCCAAGTCCAGGGTGTAAGACAGTCGTCCTCCTCAGGCAATAGATGGAATGTTGAGTAAAACCATGGGTTGATTGAAGTTAGACGTTAACACCACTGGATGTCGATTCAATGGTGTTGGTTTCAAGCGTTTACGCGCAAGACCGAAGATCCTGGATCGGAACCTTTCAGATGGGTAGTGAACGCTCTCTGCAGAGGAATCCCATACTAGGACGAAACGACCGTCCAGTGCTTCCAGGTTTTCAATGGTGGTCTGACTTAGATCGACTCGAGATTTCAACTGTGAAAATATTCATTTATTTATTTATCTTCATAACTGAATTAGTGAACCGCGGTATGATCGTTGGTGTATGCATTTTCTAGGCAATGTCAGAAGATGGACAAATGACACAAAAGAATCTCTTGTTTCATATTTGAAAAATACCACATTCATTATCATATTTCGATGAACGAAAGAAATACCTCTTCATTTAATTATGAGTTATGTGGTTCCTAGTGAGGAATTATGGTTACCATAATTTAGCTTCCCTTTTGAGGAGAGAGTGTTCCTGGACAGCACTCTGAGGTGTATATCGGTTAGTGTGCAGTCTTACTGGTGCTTGTAAATCTGCTTAATGAGGCAATAAAGCAGGGTTCCTGTAAATTAAGGATCGAGTTCGCTGTAGTAACGAGAATGAAGTTGGAATTAAGTTATGATTTGGTAGGAAGAACCGGATCGATATAAGGAAAGCTCGAATGTTTCACGATCTGTATGATAAACGCTCTTTCGACAGATATGTTTCATTTTGTAAGCGAGGAGAAAGATTTGACACTAGTCGTATCTCCTTGTGCGATAGAAGGCGGCACACATCTTGGACCATAGGAATGTTCATGACTAACACTGTCTAGTCAGTGAACCTTCAGTAAATTTCAGTTTCTTAAAAGGGACATTAGGAACATAATAGCATCATTAGTCAGTGGTTGTCTTATAACTATAAAAATGAGAACAGATTACTATTGACATTGACCATATATAATTTTCAAATAAAGAAAAACCAACACGAAAACATAGTAAACTGAAACAAAACGGAGATACAAGTAATAAATAGTTATATAATTTGGACCAATACTACCGGAAAATATCATCATTTATGTCTAACGGTGCGTGCTATTTTCATATATAAACTGAAAATCACCAACTAACACAAAACCTAGATCCAGGGTCTTCCGTAGATTTCCTCCAGTCAATTAACATAGATTACAATATATAAAAAATGTCTTTAGAAAGAAACATATTTGATGAAGTTTAATTAATAAAATAGGACTAGCTTCACATAACTTAGTAGTATATATAAAACAAATTAAATATGACAATAAATTAATCCGTAAGTTCAACAAACTATTTCCCGAATAAGATATACCGTTTGTAATGAGAAGAGATGTGGTAACAAATACTCCAATCGTTTTTGAATATTGTCTATCATACACTTCCATCCTCTTGTTATTACTTCATCTTTCAAAACTACCTACCATCAAATAAGCAGAGCTATTTGGAACATATATATAAATGGAAATTAAAAAAAACTCCATATTGTGATTTAGAACAACATATATAGGCGAACAGTATTGTTTTCGATTAGATCCTCACCAGGCTTTACTGTAATGTACAGTGATATTTAGATGCACATACAAAATTATTAAACACATCAAGGCAATTTATGATTCCGTGATAACAGTAGAATAGATAACATAGATAAATATAATAAGTAGTAAGTGTAGATTGATAGTGTGATGACAGATCTACTAGTTGTAATAAGAATAATAAAGGCTTGAATCAATGTTTCATAATGGTAAATCGGTCAATGACTTGAAAAACAAAGATATTAAAATAACATTCATAAAAACCATAGGATTACGTAATGAGGAGTTTTGAGATAACTGGACAAATTTCTTATGAATTCAAAGACTTGAATCATTAGCTCGAATTCCTATAGCTTCTGCTATTTGTAAGAGATGAGATCGAACCCCATAAGGACAGCTATTAGGTATACGATAAACCACTTTAAATGACTTTTTTCTATCTACATGACCGACGTGTGATAAAAGAAATTGAGTATTGTTTTGAGGATATCCTTTCCTAACCACGAATGCAGATGTGCACCAACTCATTGTGTCAGTTGTCTGGTTGTTCGCTTAATATAACTTTCTTCACCGGAGCAGCTGAATTCGTAGATACAGATAGATGTGGAATATAAATATTACTGTATATTAGAGTAAATCTTAAAGAAGATTTAATTGAAAACAATATTGTTCGCTTATATCTACTGTTCTAATTCCAGAATGATGGAGAAGAGTTGCAGCCAAAATATACATCATGGATATTATTGTGTTCTCTGAACAATTATGCCGTCCAACTCAGAAAATGTGTTACCACCAACTTACGTATCTAACATCTTATGTTATCCAATCAGGAAGCATTCTAGATACTATTAGATTGCTTTTTTTTAGAAGTTTGATAAGAAATTAAAATTGTAACCAATCATCTAATCAAATAAACTAGTTATTTCTGATAAATATAAAATGGGTGGGAATGTGGGAAAATAAAAACTTGGCAGAAAAAAATAACGTTATTACAACGTAAATTGGTTAATCTATTTTATCTACTACTACATTATTCCAATGGAAAATAGTTCTCCTGTTGTTCAACAACCAACATCAGTACAAGTAAGATCAACACATATTTCTTTTTTTTTTCTTTTTTTGAGAAGAAAAAACTCTTTAGTCATAACTAATAATCCAGTTTTTATTTATTAAAAAATATGAGCATTTTTCAAAACTTTGAATTGTATGGGGTTAGTAACAATTGAAATCACACTGAAATTATTTTGAGAATACCCAAGCTTAACGAATAGTATATAGTAATCATCGAATGATTAAAAGAACGATCTAATTTTCAATCACTAATATAAAGTGACTGGCTTCAAGAGATATATCCTGGAGTTCTAGTGAGAAGCAATGACCAGTGGAGTTTAACCGGGTCAGTTGTGAGGTAATAACTCACTGATGACAATGGTGGATGTGTCGCTCGATTTCGTGGATTAGTTGAAGTTAGACATTAACACCGTTAGATGCCGGCTCAGTGGCCTAGTGGTTAAGCGTTCGCGTGCGAAACCAGTAGATCCTGGGTTCGAATCCCGAGGGTCGGGGTCGTGGATGCGCACTGCTGAGGAGTCCCACAATAAGACGAAACGGCCGTCCAGTGCTTCCGGGTTTTCCATGGTGGTCTAGCTTCAATTGACTCATGATCGCAACTGTTGAAATCACTAATATACATGCTTGAACTCCGTTTCATTTATATTGGTTAAGGCACCTAAATAGTATTGAATCTGATTATTGTAAAACTTCAAATAGTTTATGTAAGCTAGTTCTACTTATAGAGATTTTAGACAACAGACTGGCTTTAAGGAAAAACTTACTAATGACTAAAGTGTTGTACTAATGTTTTATTCATATTTCAGTAGATTTTATTGATTAACATATTATTAAATGGGTTGTGATTATGATAAACGATATATTTTGTCGTTAGAAGTAAATAAGTAAGTTGTTTTAAAACAGAAAAACAGATCAATACTTGTTTTTGCATTTGTTAAGTGAGTTGAATATTAGTGATCAAGGCAAATTTGATCACAAGGATATGCATAATCTAGTCTCACTAATTCTCATATTAATAATAAAAACTAAATGACGGTCAAGATTTCTGAAGAAACTCAAAGGTATGACACGTATTTGACAGGTTGGTAACATGTTCTTTACTGTACTAAATAGAGTTTTTCACTTTATAACCAGAACGCATACTGAGTTCATACACATATATACTAGTTATTAAAATGGACATAACCCCTCTTTTTATCACTAACATTGATATTAACACTTAATTGTAATTACATGGTGTTACAGATATTGTTTAGTCTGAATCTTTATAAAAATGACTGAATTTGGTTAGGAAATCATTAAAAAAACTGAGAAGCACTCATTAACCATTTTGTTGCAGTATGAGAATTATCAACAGCACTGATTCACTGTGCCACCGGAGACTGAACCCATAACTTTCAGAACTCGAAGTGACCGTAGATAACTGAGTTAACATCCAATAATTTACATTCTTAACTCCAACCAATTCTTCAAATCCCACGACCATTGCCAACCCCCGTCAGTGATATCTATTTGATTCTTGACGAAAACGTTTTTTAGTCCTTCTTAGTTTTCAATGGCTATCTAAACAAAGTCAGTTGATGATAGGAAAATTTAGATGGATAATCAACCCATAAATCATTTGTTATTTAAGATTTCGATTAACATCAGGTGAAAAGAACAAAAGCTGTTAAAAAGAAGAAACAAATGTTAACTACAAACTCTCATCTTTGTCCTAAGTCATCTGTTCTGGGTATATGCATATATAATATCAGGATAAAATTTAATTCAATCTTAGTCTATAATCGTTGACTCACACCAGTCTGACTTCTTAAGAACAATTCTTTTTAGACCTTTCGGGTACAACTTTCCTGTAGTCGTCAAATTAAGTTTATATACTGTTATATTGTCTTTCCTAAATACAATGTTTCACAGCTTGCTATAATACAAGCTTTTGCTGTGTGCAGAAAATTTAGCCAAAGTAATGTTAAGTGGTGAAGAAAGTCCGTGGAACCGGATATTATAGTAACCATTATATAAATATTAGTTGTTTATCGTTTTTAATCTTACCTTACCTGGAGGCTTGGGGCCACTTAACATATGAAAGCCACTCAACTCTAATTGTCACTGACTAACTACCCCTAAATTCACTCAATTTTAACCTAGTATCTAGACACTCTGAGAAATGATTGTATCTGAATTATATCTGTCGAAAAAAACTTGAAATTAAAGTGTCTTATATGCATAAGGTGACACAACGAGAAGAAAGATCGCTTATCTATTTATTCTTTGAAAATATTTGGAACAATCAACATTTTTAACTAGTAGACCTTACTCGTGTGTGTATCACCTACTGGAAAAATAGCAAATGGATCTTTAAAGCCCATTAAAAATAATCAATGAAAACACAAACGTTTTGATTACTATCCAGTATGCCGTCTGACTGAATATTAATGCTGCATCTCAGATATATTAAAGCTCACTAATAGGTTTTCAACTCAAAAACATTTTAAGATTTAATTACACATACCCATCACTTAAAGTAATTGAAATTTCACATTAAACGGTTGGTTAGTAGTAACTGACGTCATATGAAATTGATTTGTACCCATTCAACTGAGTTACTCAACAGAACGATACACTTTATTTGAATCAACCAACAGAAAGCTCTTGAGTTGAGATTCATTACAATGTTATCGTCAGCTAGTCATAATCTCACTCGACAGAAAACATTTCTCACAAGAAAGCGTTATCACTGAGCTGTTCATGCTTTAACTGACCTACTTTGATAGTGAATTATTAAAAAAAGCTAACTGATCACTTATTAATGACTGATCTCATGTTATAGACCCCTCAGAACTGAATTTAAGGTGAAATCATATCACTTAATCACGTAAATAATGGCTACAATGTGATAAACATAAGCAGTATAAGTAGTAATCGGAAAGATAAGGGTTTGAAGATGTTATTCAAGAAGTATAATCTAGTGAAATAAATTTGGAAAGACAAAAAGGGGACATGAAGAATTCGGAAGATTATAATTAAGGAGAACGAAAGAGTGGATGCACCTGCACCATACCAAATGATTTTAAGCCATGTCATTCAAGATCTCTAACCATCGATTGCTATCGTCTCGTGGATCCCAACCAGGTAGTCTATACCTACCAACATGGCTCAGTCCACTTGTCAGTGATTTCATAAATTTGTGCCATGTTTTGGCCTGGCCGCCCCCACCTTTCCTCCAACCTACTCCTACACCATAAAACATCGCACGTCGGGGCAGTTGGTGGTTGGGCATACGTAACACATGTCCCAGCCATCTCAACTTATGAAACTTCACTACTTCATCAAGTGATTTGCCATCCTTGCCTAGTACCCGTTTCCTAACAATTGCATTACGTACTCGGTAGTCCTGGGATATACGAACAGTGCTTCGAAGACACCCATGATCGAATACTAGTAACCTGCGAATATCCGAAACGAACTGTTGCACAGTAAACCCATCCTTTGGTTTGTAGATGGATATCTCGCTTACGCCATATATATAAATTAATAATCATCATATGCCGCAATATTTTAATCTTTGTTGTGACCGATGAAATTATCACTTGTTCTACTTAATTTAGTTACAGGCCATTTGCTATTGGTGACAAGTAATGTAAATTATTAGAACTCATCTAAGAACACTAATGTATCTATTCTAAGACAAATTTTCAAAGTGTTTTTTTAATGGAAAGATATTGTATTTTGTTGTGGCCTCTTGTTTCATTACTGGAAATTAATTTTCTGTTTTTATATACATCTATGTATACTTATATATAACTTACGTACAAAATATTACTGTTTTTGTTTTCCAAATAAAATAATGTACATAGAAATTGTGGAAATAATTGTAAGCCTTATCACTATTATTAATTTTATCTGCAATATAAACATGCTTTGTTGATCCAGTTGATGAAAATCTACAAATCCCCATAGCAACAAGTTGATAAATCCGGTTACTAACAATAACTGCTCAAATTGTCAAGGAAATGTACTTCATAAACATACATTTATATACTTACGCTTATTGGTGTATTAGTTATTTGCTTATACAAGTCACTTATTCTTCTTTTATGGACACAATGGAAAGGTCATTTTTTGTATGAATAAATGGAAAACAATGGAAAAAATGTAGAGAGAAATAGTGACAAAGGATTATGTAAAGTGTATTCTTTCCAGCTATTTTAAAACACTTGATACCTGATAAAGTATATGTATGGCAAAGAAAATTAAGAAACTCAATAAAATGAAATGAAAGTAGGTAGAAAGGAAAATTTTGATCAGTTTTCCTTAAATATATGAGTTGTTGATATCAAACAATACATTTTAGTGAGGGAGAAAGAAACACACTACTTTCTGCAAAATCATCTGATAAGTAAAACAATCAACATTGTTGTTAAGTCCGTCAGTAACAATATTGTTACGAAACTAACGAAACAGTACACTCAACAATCAAAAAACACAACAAACATTATAGAATGTAGAGTTAGGTGAATTGTGGAGGTCCGTTCACATTTTGAATGGTTTTCTTGATGACAAATAATGTTCAATGTGGTTTTCTTAATTGGTTCTATGCTTGCTTTCAAGTGGTTGTTTGGTTTGTTAAAAAATACTGAAATTTATTCCAATCGGAAAATAATACAACTGAATTATTCAGCATCGTTGCAATACTGTAAAGTATAGAGGCTTAACAATTTAAATTATCATTAAGCACGTTTTTGATAAACGGGATAAACCTCTCGTAACGTTGTCTCAAGAAGTGACAGTTAGATTGGTGAAACTGATGAGATTAACTTAGCATTTTAAGCATTAAGTGATTGAACGCAAGAAACTCCAAAAATATCTCTCTTCAACGTCCCTATAGACCCAGGAGACTCCTGAAAACTTTTTATACAGTCAGAACTTAACAGAGGCTCGTGAGAAGCATGTAATAAAATGAACGATTATGTGTTACGTTTTGATTGAATAACTGCTTATATCATTATTATATTCAGTATGTTTCTTGAAGTTTCCAGAAGAACAAGGTCATATGGCTAATGTAAAAAGACGGTTTATTCAGTAGTTCCTGGTTTTCAATAATTCTCTACGTGATATCATTCGTCCTTAAGTATTCGTCTTACAATCAGTAATGAAATATGTTGCCGGAAACATAACTCACGGCTTTAATCTTGTACTGATATTAGCTAGACCAAAAAATTCATGGAGCACTAGATAATTGTTTCATCACAGAATGGGATATCTTAGCAGTGAGATCTCACCACCCTTTACAGAGGATTTATAATCTCCACAAACCCCCAATCATTAATTCATGATTTAGTAATTTTGATCCTCATTTTGTATATATTTAATCATATAATGGGTAGAATTAAAATTGTTCGTTATATCATGTATTTATTGGATCCTGAGTAACCCGACTCATTTAATCAGTACAGTTTTATGTACTTCACTTAGAGCCATACTGTTTATGTAGAGTTAGTGGTACTATCCTGTTCAAACCGATGTAGGTGAAATGACCTACATTTTGAGAGTTAGATATACTAACAATTAGGTAACCAATGACTGATAAGTATATCACAAAGATCCTAATCCTACAACTTTTAAGGTGTTACATAATTTCAGTATTATATTCACTATTAATTTGGTCAATGTTGATAAAGGCAAGAGTTATTTGTTAAGAATAATAAGTATGATTGGTAATTTAAATTTTCTTATTATGTAGATTAATTTATAGTCTTTATTTCATGAAGAATTTTCATTTCAGCGCTTCATATCCTTCTACACTGATTACCATACACTCCATCTTTATCTTATAAAATATTTATTTTCCTCCACTTTAACATACAGAGGCAGACATTCGAAAGAGAATGGAGTAGTGGACTTTGTGCTTGTTTTGATGACCTACCAACATGTAAGTGTAATAATTCTGCATAAAACCAATGATATTTTATCTCAATAAATTAGTCATTATTCTAACATTATGACTTAGAAGTAAGACAATATACTTGTCGACAACTGGATTAGAGAATGTAAACAGTTTGATTTCAATGTAGTGACTTATGATACTAACGATTCTCATAAGAACTGATTGTTACTGGTTCGATCTCACATTATGCCGTGTTCAATAAATGTTAAGAAGATAAGAAAGGAAAACTGAACAGTGGTTTGTGATCTTCCAAATAATCTCTGGCTAGTCTGTAATAAAATCTGTCTTTACAAAATCATCCTACTTTATTGGTTAAATCTACTTACATTACATACATTTTACAAGTCTTGTAATCTTATTTTACGAAGTTTTCGTGTACGATTAATATTTCAGTTTAGCTCTAATAGGAGGCTGATTATTTAGAACAGTGAGGAAGCTATGAAATGTTTTCTGTCGAACAGATCCATCTATCTAATATAACTATATATTGTACATGTTGGTAACTATCGTCTGTCTTTTTGATCAGCAAAAGTATAAATCTGAACCTCTTATCAATACGATGATCAACATAACTGTATTTCGATAATCAAATACTAGTCATGGAAAAAAAATGAAGTTCCTACTGTCGAAGAAGCATAGAACCAACACGTACGAAAATCTAGAACTATCGCTTTCAGATCTATATTAGTCCTCCTGATGATACTATTTTCCGTCTTTAACGGTACACATTAATGGCATACAACTGTGTGTAGGCAGCATTAGATCTCAAGATTCTCGCTGATTGTGATCTAGGTAGTCTTCATATTTCTTCCGAAAGAATTGTGGAAATGATGACACTTACTTATCTAATCATGATGCTTACTGGTAGATTACAATGAATGTTTCAGTATATACGATCAAGTAGTCTTGGATAATTGACATTCTATTTGTACTACAGTGTGATTTTGCCATTTTATTGTGAAGACCCAACCAGATTGTTGGTTGTTCTTCAATGAACAGTTAAGACTTTTCCTAAATGAAATTATTTCTAAGATATACCTTAATTAAGCAAATATTATACATAGAATTAGTGCAGAAAACACTCAATTTATTTCATTTTACGCTTATGTTTTAAAATGTTTGTGTTTTTAGGTTGTCTAGTTCTATTCTGTCCTCATTGTTACATGTGTTATTTATATAATAAAGAAGGGGAATCGTGCTGGGTTCCATTCTGTGGTGCAGGCATTTTACCATTACGTATTAAACATCGTGTTATGCACAAAATAATGGTAATTATTATATTTTATTTATCTTTAATTAAGAAATTATTTATCATGTTGTATACATTAAACACTTAAAATAGTCGACAATATTTATAGATCATATGGATAATTTTCCTAGGGTATCGTTCTCTGAGCTGAATGGTGTAACTGAGAAGCTTTCTTCGTCATTGGGAACATCATATTCAAAAATTAATATATCCAGATTAAAGTGTACATCTTCACTATAATGAGATCTATTGTGAATGTTAGTACCCTATTTGAAGAGCGAAACTAGTGTTTTTTAGTGAGTAAACAGGAATTTACGCCGTCGATATTTTAATCTAACCTACTATGTGTGACCTAAAGGTAAGGCCTGGCTACACGGATTTTAACTTATCACCCAGTCGTTGGAAATACAATATCTCATCCAACCAGCATATTTTTTATATGTCACAAAGTGAAGTAACGGTAAATTTCCTTCTTTATTCCTTTACAGATAGCCACATTGTGTTCTATGTCTGTCATTATTGTTTTCGAAAACGAAGTAGTTTAACCTACCACATACATATGCAGCGCAAACTAATATTCATAAAATGATGAAATAAAATACATTCGAAGGATAAGAACAACAAAAATATTTCATCTCAAGGAATGAGTTAAACTAAACGAACGTAGAAAATCAAGAAAATCCCGACCTAGAGAATAACGAACTATTACAAAAATTACGTCCCATTTCTGAAAAGTGAATCATCTTATTAGAATTTCATAGTATTAGTTATGGTGGGCGCAACATCTAGCGACTGACCTCTTTTTGAAATCTGACTCACTGATCTGGAATACACAGATGAAACCATCCTGTCACTTGGTTTTCGTCAAATTGAGCCAATCTGTCTGTCCATTAAAGGGATGGTATACCATAAAATAATACGATCTGTATTACGTTGTGGAAGCAAAACGTTATCTGTGAAAGTAGAATACGTTGAGTGGGCTGGATGATTTTGTTGAAGCGAAGCTAGCATGTTGTGAAACAACCGACAGGACTAAGATTAGAATCAATGTATTAGGCAACAAAAAGGAATCAGCTGACGGCAATTAAATATTCATAGACTGAGGTGAATCATGTCTGCTGAAACCTATTGTTATTCGAAGTGTAATGCTAGTTGTAGTATAAATGCCCTAGGAGAAAACTAGTAGCGATAAAATTAAGAAATGGAGTCAGTTCATAAAATATTTGACAAGTGAACTTTCTGTATGTGTAATCTACCTGGTCTGAGCCATCTCAGTAACCGGGACTTCTGGTTAGAGATTCTACATGAATATGTGACAATGATGTATATGCATTTACTATTTATCTTACTTCAGATCTTTAACTCCTATATTGCTTCACATATACCTTTTCATTCCCTTTCTAACCATATCATCACTAATACTACTATTTTGACCTCCTATCTGTCCAACTTGTTTCTCTCATCTCGTCTTATTGATAATGTGTGAGGATTCGACTCATAGTACAGTTAAATAAGGCTCTATGACTGACTAGTTGCTATAATGCTTTAGTCTACCAGTGAATTACTTCAATTCTGACTTATGAATTGAAAAAGTTACCTATTGATTCAGTGTTGCTCATTTATTTTGTCCATTTTTATTGTTTTATTAACTCATTTACTTTCTCATTTTCATAACAGATTGTGGATATGATTTTATTTATCACACATTTCTCATTTAGATTTGTATGTAAATTGTTTGTTTCAAATATTAAAACAAAAAAAATACATTTCTTGGAAAGTTATTATATTCACTTGGTATTGTTTGGCTTGTATCCAAATAGGACGAAACACGCGTCTTGGATTCCACTGCTAGCCACTATCCATCATTGCTTATAAAACGTTATTATATGGTGTTATAAAACAATACCTGATACAATAATTAGTCTCATCATACGTTTATTTTTGAAGTTTATAGGCTTTTTAAAGTCTTGGTTGTGTGTATTGAATGTATATAATAATTAACTTTTTCAAAAGTGTTCCACTATATTACAATTCTTAATTGTACAATTTGAGCTACGTGACAGATATTTTCTTATCTTCTTAATTTATTAAAATGAAATAAAGAAACAAAATGAAGTTTGAACCTCATAAGCAATAGGTTGATAATGTCAATTTTTGCTTATTTGAGTTCATATGCAATCGTATTTAAGAAATTTAAAGGGTTAATCAACCAAGGTTATTTGAAACGATCTAGGTATAAGTGTGGCGCGTGCTACTTATATTGATATAAGTAGTATATGACGCGAGTTAAAAACATAATGTCTAGCAGCAGAAGATGGGAGAAGATCAAGAAAGGAAAAGCGGGAACACAATGCAATTTGTAAGAAAACGCATGAACAATGAAATGTGAGACAATAGATTGATGATTACAACAAGAACATTCCGATGATATGATGGATTGATATTTTGCAAATTAACGATTTACTATATGGTTTTTCCATTTTACCAAGTAATTCTGTAATTTTGTTCTAATTATAATTCGGTTGTCCCCACTTGTGTTCTGTTTACTACATAAGTACTTTTTTTATTAAAAAAAGATACACATATTATATAATAATTATTACTTTTCTATTCATATAACTAGTCACTTGTGTATATTTTATTTACATTTTAGGGTACTCTAATGAATGATGTTTGTATTACATGCTTTTGTGGACAATTAGCTACATGTCAATTAAAACGTGATATAGATTATGCAAAATCTATCAGAATGGAAATTTAAATAATATTACACACACACACACAAAGAGAAAGAGAGAGGGAGAAATATGGTCAGGTTTTTCTCGTAAACATCGAAAAAACTAGTCTGCTGTTTATTTTTTAAATGTTCAATTTTACATTTTGAAAGGTTCACTGTTTTTTTTTTATAGAAAAAACCGTAGAAATTTTACACTTACACAGATAATTAATTATATTAGATTGAATGATTTGAATGCAATTTTCCAATGAAAACAAACAAATAGACTTGTTTGTATTGAATTGCTCATTTATAATGACAAAACAAAACAAACAAGAGATAGATTCCATCTAGAATGAATGAAAAATTACTGGTTTTTTTGTTGATTCATTTCAAAATATCACTATTTGAATTAACCAGTTTTTTTTTAAATTATTGTTCTGTTGAACACATTCAATTTGCAAAAAAAACTTGAACGCTGTAATGGTGTTTTTTTAGTTCTTTTGTTTAAATAATTGTTTTAAGTACGTAACTGACTGTTACATTCAACTGTTAAAAGATTATTATAGAAAAAAATCTGTTAAAATTTCAATGATTAAGTAAATTAAATAAGAAGAAAGGGGTTTTGTGGATATTAATAGTCAAGTTCATAAATCACTTGAAGCTAAACAATCATGGAAAACTTGGAAGCATTGGACTGCCGTTTCGTCTTAGTATGGGACTCCTCAGCAGTGTGTATCCACGATCCTGCCCCACGAGATTTGAACCCAGGACCTATTGGTAGTAGATCACTGAAGACAATGGTGAACGGTGGCGCAATTTCGTGGATTAGTTGAAGCTAGACATTAACACGGTTGGTCCACGGGTTAAGCGATCGCGCGCGAGACCGAAGGTTTTGGTTTTAATCGCATGTGACGGATTGTGGATGCGCACTGCTGAGGAGTTTCATACTAGGAAGAAACGATCGTCCAGTGCTTCCAGGTTTTCCATGGTGATCTAGATTCAACTGAATCATGAAATCACTTATTAAATTAAATAAGAAAACTTTGTAGTTGATATTTGATGCCATGATGACAAAATTATGTTAGCGATCACCTATCTCTACTCATGATAAAGTTAACATCACAATATTTTGAAGTGGGGATTTTTAAATGGGCACTTGATCGCATAGATTAACCAAATTTCTGAAAAATAAATCATCAAGATCTTATTTAATTTCAGTCTTACTTCCATGTCAAGAAAAATTTTTACAATCATACTAATCAGCTATCCGTTTTTTTCCGATTTACAATGAAGAAAACAATCTGTGAAGAAAGTTATTTTCAATAAGTGATTTCGTGGTCTCGATGCTAAATGCTTATCTGAAAATTTTACTTTACATATATCGAAGGGTGTTTAAAGAATGAGGGATTTTCTGAGCTTATTGGTTTTAAAGTTTCTCTAAGTTGTAAACCTGAATCCCATAACAAATAGTGTATATGAGGAAGTCATTTATAATGTCAGGTCCTTCTTAGTGCAGGTTGAATATTATCGACCAAGTTGTAATGTGGCCACCAGTCCAGGTGACTGGACATTGAGTGCATTATGTTCAGATAAGATGGTGTGTGGAGGTACACCTTGCTGACGAGGACCAAGTAGCACGAAACCTAGTTCCAGGGTATCCTGTTGACTACTTCTAACCACGATCTTATGAGAAAGTCAGTTTTTATATGACCATTGTTAAACAAGATAGCCATTTGTCCAATTCTTCGATGTTAATTATGTGTATATTTGAGTTTTAAGAGACTGTAGATCGATTAACCACTAGTTTTGGAAAATATTCTAAAAAATAAAACTGTTCACTGTAGAATAACGATTCAAATATGAAGTGTGAAGTGCTAAATGTTAACGGAATGGTCCTATAGATATAAACTTTCCAAAATGCCTGAAAGTCATGAGTTTGAACCATGTTAAAATCCTTGACGTAGACCCGACGTATTTTATATGCTTGCATACCGACTATAAACCTTTTTTTATTTATCTTTACAGCCTTCGTATATAAACAGTTTAATATTCGTGTTACGAAACGTATCTTTCAAAATTGATTTGGGTGGGGAAATTGAGTAGGCTAATGTAAAAAATGTACTATGCTGAGTCAAATTTCATTTGTTTTAAAAGCATGATTGTTTCTGGACTACTTTGTTTGATTTTAAAATTTGAAATCTAGAATGAGAATTTTCACAAGTAATGGTTTTCTTTGTTAAGGCTGTATAACATCACAAGATCTTTACTTAAACAAGGTTACTGTTAAATGGTTATTTAATTTATTTCCTATATCCTAGAATAGTTTACTTGGTATTGTTTGCTTGTATAGGACTGCAAATGATCAGTCTCTTGTTGGCATATGTGCATCCTGTGCGGTCTGCCTCAAGGTTTATAAGCAAAGATGGACAGTGGTAAGTAGTGGAATCGGCGAGACTCTAATTTATGGACGACCTTTGAACGAGTCTTAAGTGACCTTGAGAAATATTAGCCAATCAGCAATCAGTGTAGAGTAAAAATATGGGCGAGACTCTAATTTAGGGACGAGCCAATCAGAAGCGTTTGAGCAATTTCAAGGTCATGGAGCCAAGTTCAACACGTGATGCTAACATACGATCGGTTCACAGCGGATTTTAGAGAGGAGGTGATTAATGAGAGATTACAACAGATGGGACGGCGAGACTCTAATTTAGGGACGAGCCAATCAGAAGCGTTTGATCAATTTCAATTATTAGCCAATCAGAAGACAGTTTGTATAAAGTGAAAATATATTATAAGAAAGTAATGAATTGCAGTGGATATTCTTCTTTTACATGGTTTGAAAACTTGTTAAGGTTCGATAAAGGTTCAGAGGTTCTGAATTCATAATGCATATGGTATAGAAAATCGTCCATAGAGTTAAGGTTGGGGTTAGGTTAGGGTCAGGGTTTAGGGTTAAGGTGCTAATATACAATCGGTTTACAACGGATTTTAAAGAAGAGGTGTTTATTGAGAGGCTACAACCCTATTCCTAACCCTAACTTAACCCTAACCCTATGAACGAGTTTCTTTATCATATGCATTATGAATTCAGAACCTCCGAATGTTTATCAAACCTTAACAAGTTTTTAAATCATGTAAAAGAAGAATATCCACTGCAATTCATTACTTTCTTAAAATATATTTTCACTTTATACAAACTGTCTTCTGATTGGCTGATGATTGTCAAGGTCATTGAAGATTCGTTCAAAGGTCATCCGTAAATTAGAGTCTCGCCAAAATATGTTATACAAAACCAAGGAAATAAATTGGATACACTTCTTATACGTGGTTCAAAAACTTGTTAGGTTCTAAAATCCTAATGCATGCAGTAGAGGAAATCATCCATATGGCTACAGAATAGTCGTCCTCTGGAGCCATGATAAAGTCTCAAATACTCTTTCAGCCTCAACTACATAGCTTCAATATTGTTTATGTACACTCTGGTTGCTGAGTGCACAAAGTGCTACTTGTGTATAACGACGCGATGCACATAACCAAGCCTATGTAGGAGTCTGTACGCTCTCCAAACATCCGTATATACTGTAGTACCTGGATGCAGCCAGTGTTACTGGTGCTTTTATTATCCAGTTCGCAATAATTGTCGTAATTTGCCTTAGTTAGTAATTGTATATGGGGTTTTCATCACGAACTGACATCAGCTATAATGCCAGAAATCTATTTAGCCAAATGGATGAAAGGCTTTCGCGTTATAATCCGAGATCCATTATACCTGATTTATTCGTCCACAAATTATATTCTTGCCGTTTTATTTGTTATAGCCTCTCAATTATCACGTTTTGTACAAAATTCCGTGTGAACCGATTGTACGTTAGCATTAAGCACTGAAGTTGGCGCCATAACCTTGAAATCTCTTAAACGTCTCTGATTGGCTCTTCCATAAATTAGTCTCGTCGTGGAATCCATGGTGCGCTTCGTCCCATTTGGGGCTTGTCACCTGGATGTACCTTCACCCTATTGCACAAGTAAGGGGGAAGCCGGGCGGAGCATCGGCGATGACTGTGCCGAAAAATAGTGCTGGCCAGAAACAGATTGTGGTCTCTGCACAGTTGCAGTAGACGGTCTCCGTTATCTGTCCTGCGACCAACAAGTCCCCATCGGCCACCCGCGCGTCCTGGATTTCACAGCTAGCTACTATCCATCTTTGCTTATTAGCGAATAGTGTTTGAATGAAGTCATAAATATAATGACCATAGAACTCGTTCACTGTTAGAGTGAAAAGAAGCAACCCAAGAGTACTAAAATCAAACTTTTGAAATACTAAGGACTTTATGTGAATCAGTTACAAAACTATGTCCTAGGAACATAGCTATTAATGTCGCGTTTAGATTGTAACTTAACATACTTTAGATTACCGATATATTACAAATAGATATGTTGTATTCATTTTAATAAATTACTATTATTCTTAAGTGAAATACTTAACGAAATGAATAATGCAAACTTTGCACATCGTCGTAATTAATCCTGGCTTAGTCTTTTTGTCAATAGACCTCGAAGGGAAAGTTGTTCTGATTCACGGACACATCATTCATTTCACTTTGTTCCCGTTATTCTGTACATTTATACTTTTGAGCACTGTTAAAGTAGATACAAGGTAGGTGTACTCACTCTTATAAATAATTATGATCTTTTAACAGTGTACACATAGGTGTCTGTGGATATTTGTGTGTCTACCTTGTCACATTAAAGCTAAATATTTGATTTTTCATTAAACGCACTTTTTATATGCATATAAAAAGACTCATATACATGTACACTTTTATCCTTACGGTCTATCTGCTTGTTTGGTTGGAAAATAAATATGTTCGCAACAAAGCTTGTCCGACAATACATAGTGTTGCGACTTAGTTGTTACCGTACTGGAAGACAAACGTAATACGGAAAGAAGTTTAATTCAAATAACTCTTAGAAGTAATACAGATAAGTTATTAATAGGAACTTCCAAGAGAAAACATTATAGTGGTGAGCGCGATTTCGAACAA